GTTCGCTGGAGTTCTAGCTTCAAAATGCGAGCTCAAATGTATCGAAATTTTAAGTAGAAGAGGAATAATTAATGATTTTTCTATGCGATGTATTTTTAAATATTTTCTGTCCTTCTCGCACAGTATTGCGTTCCTTCTCTATGACTTCGCATACCTCCTTGCATATCATGTTATGCTAGTAACAAGTCGGAGCTTCGTGAATCCAAACGCGAGATGGCGCTGACATCGAAAACTTTTTAATAGGTATCTTACTTACCGGCAAAATATATTTCATCAATAATTAGGATTAAAATTAAGAAAAAATTATATTAATTATAATTTAAAAATCATTTAAATATGCAAGAACTATAGAATATATAAGGAATACAAAGATGAATAATAAAAAAAAAAGAAGAAACATTTATTTATATATATTTATTAATTTATCTAATTTAGAATAATATACAATAAAATATATATAAAAATTTTTAGATACAAGTTTTTTTAAATGAAATTTATGTATATATAAAATATATATATATTTATTATAATATATATAGCATAAATAAATAAATATATATATTGTACAATATATTTTTAACGTCATAAAAATATAAATAAATATAATAAAATATATATGTACATTCTATTATGATTTTTAATCAATAAGATAAGATGAAGCTTGTCTGTATTATTTACTTCTGTAAATTATAGAGGGCATACTAAACATTCTAATTTTTTGCGCGATCGGTATTTTATACCATGGAACACAAAGTCTCGTTAAATATTAGATCTATCTTGTATTTTATCTGAGTAATAAAAAAAACAAAATTTGTGAAAAGTTTATGTTAGAAAGCTCAGATAGCAGCACTTACATTACATCAATAATTAAACGTAACAATTAAAAGTTAACAATTTCAGAAAATTAATAAATAGAGATGACGTAAGAGGTTATCTTTTTTTAATTATATAAAACTGAAAATGATATTGGTTGAACATTTCCTTTTACGTACAATATTATGATGTCAATGTGCGATACAAAGTTGATTAGAAAAATAATATAGATATCCTCAATGACATGTGCAATGTTAAAGCATGGTTGTCACGCCACGGAAGATGAAACAGGTTGCCTTTTCTGTGATTTGTATAATATTAGGTAAATATTTAAAATCGTATTGATTTCTCAATTTTTTTTTATCGGTCGTTATTTGTTATTCATAATATGTATATCGTATGTTTTCATATGACAGTGTTAGGATTTTATAAAACATTAGTAAATCCAGAAGATGAACAATCTTTTACCCGAGTTCACCCACGAGATCGTAAATCTCATCTAGGAGATGTAAATGAAATTGAAAGTGTCAATGAAAAAGTTCAAGAGGTAGTTGATGAAAATATACGTTATACTGATATTAAAGATATTGAAGAAGCAAAAATACGAATTCGTGAGTTAGAAGGCAAATTACAACATCTTGAAGCTAAGATTGAAAATAAAGTATCAAAAGACTTCCCAACAGTCAAGTTTCTTAATTATAAAAACCGGAAAAGAATATTAGTCACAGGTGGAGCTGGCTTTGTTGGATCACATTTGGTTGACCGTTTAATGCTTGCTGGCCATGAAGTGATAGTCGTAGATAATTTTTTTACTGGAAGAAAACGTAATGTTGAACATTGGGTTGGTCATGAGAATTTTGAGCTTGTTCATCATGACATTGTTAGACCTCTTTATTTAGAAGTTGACGAAATATATCATCTTGCTAGCCCAGCTAGTCCGCCACACTATATGCTTAATCCAGTTAAAACAATAAAGACAAATACATTAGGTACAATAAATATTTTAGGTATGTATATACTATGTCTTTTTGGAGTTAAAAAAATCCATTCAAATAGTCAATTATTTAAATAATTAAGCTATATTTTATTATAATAATATTGATATAAATATAATTATTTGATTATATCAGGTCTTGCGAAAAGGGTGGGAGCAAGAGTTTTAATAGCTAGCACATCCGAAGTTTATGGAGATCCTAATGAACATCCTCAGTCAGAAACTTATTGGGGCCATGTGAATCCTATAGGTACATAGAAATGATTGTAATTTTATTTAATTGTAATGAAAATAATTCATAATATTATTTTTGTAGGGCCAAGAGCTTGTTACGATGAAGGAAAACGCGTAGCTGAAACATTAAGTTATGCATATATGAGACAAGAGGGTGTTTCAGTACGTGTTGCTCGAATTTTTAATACATTCGGACCAAGAATGCATATGAATGATGGTCGTGTAGTTTCAAACTTTATTTTACAAGCATTGCAGAATGATTCGATTACGATATACGGTAGTGGAAAACAAACAAGATCTTTTCAATATGTATCTGATTTAGTCGACGGGTTAGTTGCTTTAATGGCATCTAATTATACCCAACCAATAAACATTGGAAATCCTGTGGAGCATACAATAGAAGGTAAATATGATGTTAAATTTTTTAGAGTAATTGATATAATGCTTTGAAAAAAAAAAAAACAATTTATAATTGATTGCAGAATTCGCTCTTATAATAAAAGATTTAGTTGGTACTAATAGTAAAATAGTTGAACTTGCCGCGGTCGAGGATGATCCACAGCGAAGAAGACCGGATATCACTAGAGCTAAAAAATATTTAAATTGGGAACCAAAAGTTCCTTTAGCAGAAGGACTTAAGAAAACGATAATGTATTTCGCTAAGGAATTACAAAGAACAAAGCATTCTCAGAAAAATAGTTTCAAACAATATTCTTACAAAAACGATCACGATATAGTAGAACAACTTTAACAAACAAAATATCAATACAATTAATTTTTTATCCACTTTTAACAAAGTGGTTTCGGAAAGTGCCATTATGCTATGGACCATTATGTGCCAAGAGATTCCCCGTCCAAATTGAAAATTTTGTATAATTTAGAATATTAACAGGTACACATATTCTCTTTTTTAATTTAAAAAAAAAAAAATAATAATAATAATAAAAGAAATACAATGATATTTAAAGAAAAAATTTTCGTAACAAAATTGATATTTTGTATTTATGAAATCGATATTTATTTCAGCTTGATTAGAATGATAAATGATATGTTAAGTTTGACACACATACAATGAATTTATTTATTACATATAATGGTATGCAATAGTATTTAGTTCAAGTGGCGAATGCTTATATCACTTATTTTATAATGAAATGAAATATTCCTACGTTTAGCAATGAATTGTGTGCAATGGTGCTGGGGAAAATTAATGTTTTTTTTCCCTCTATGAATTATTAGATTAAACGACATGAACTTTGAAAGGTATTATATCGGATTTACTTAATATTTCTATAAAATTAATTTTTCTTCGAATATACATGACATTATCTATTGTTGAATTTCTGTAATAATATATGATAGTAATATTAATCTAATTATACTGTAATTATACTAATTAATAAGTAAGTTTTTGTCATCGAATTTTTTATTATAGAGACAAATGCGGTCTCAAGGTTTTCTCGTTCTTATGAAATGATTTTTTTGAACGTTTGTAATATATTAGTAACGTGTTGTGTGATATATATATATATGTGTATATATATATATATATATACACACACACACAGTTGTAAGCCGTAAGTACTGTAATATTTCATAAGTGTGTAAACAGGAAAGTAATTTTATACCGTACAAAAAAGAATGTATCCGAGTATGAGTAAAAACACTTTTGTAAAGATAATTCTGTTTCGTCTGGAGGACTGATACTAGTTTAATTTATATAAAAGTATATCATGTAGAGAGAAATATAAAATCAATGCTTGTGTATCCATGTGTATAATGTGTACCCGTAAATTTGCATCAATGCCACCTACTACTATTCAACCATTCGCCTCAGCAAAAGTAAAAAGAATTTTCAACGATCGCATCGCGGGGATCTATATACATTGTTGCATAACGAGTTTGATGATTCTTCTTGTCCGGTTGCGCTCCAACTAGATAATATTATAATTCCGGCAAGCGTGACCACTTGCTGAAGACGCATTCCAGGGCGAGATTGAAGAATCGTCCCGGCCGATTATAGCGCATTTGAAGGCCGATTGCCCATAATGGGTGTCGCGTGGGCCCTGACAGGGCGCACGTGGTTGTCTTGTCTCGAAGACAGGAAAGAGAGAAACGGCTAATATAACGGGGGAAAGAAGGAAAGAGATGGACGAACAGATTGGCGAGAGTAAGGGGGCCGGTGGTAAGACTCGGCGATTCTTAACGATAATCATCGCATCCGGGATATGCCGTGGCTTTGTCGTCGCGGACACGAAAATGCCGCAAGGGTGAAGATGACCTAATCGTTGAGGAGACAGTCGCACGACTAACGACTCGGAGGAAACAAGGCGGATAGAGGTCTCTCCTCTTCTTAATCTCTGCTTACTACTTGGCTTTCGTGCAATCGTTTTGTTTTAATCAATCCGCAACAATTTCGCACTGACACCGATATTTATATAAATAATCGGATGAATCAGTTGGGACGAGTTACTTTTAAAACAAGAGGCATTCGTATTTTCGTTTTCTTCCTATGAAACGAGCAACTCGTTCAAAAGAAATGGTCCGCAACGAGTTTATCCAAGAGAGGGTGTGTACCATCGCGTAATCGACGAACTTCAACGACTTCCTGTCTGCGGGGACCGGAGGAACAGGTGACCTAATTCGGCGTAAAGTAACTCTTGCTCTCTGTTCGCCGGTGGTCCGCCGGTGGTAATCCGATCTATCTATTGGTAAATGATATTCGTCTAACGTGGGTTGAGCACGTGAGCACCGGTGTTATATGTTATCTGGGCAAGGGGATGTTTCGATTAGGGTAAGGATGAATGGATGAATCGATTCGATGAACAAGAAACGAGACAGGTCTACGCGTACTCCGCATTGTCGATAGAATAGTTAATAAATATACAGAAAAGAGAAAGAGAGAGAGAGAGAGAGAGAGAGAGAGAGAAGAAG